TTAACTCTAGAATGAGTTGTCCAATCTTGATGAAATTTTCTAGGATGATCATATCTCAAGGATGAACTGATTAAAATTTTAACTCTCAAAAATGATTCATTTTTATAGAACTGGAGATAGGGGTCAAAATAAAGGTTGCATTTTTCTTCAGTATTAGAGGTCAAAATGAGCTGTCTGAGGCTACATCCTATGTGGCAGCATCTATTTATCGAGCCTATTTATCCAGAGATGATCAGTTCCAAATGGCAGTAGAGCTATATCCAACAAATGAGCAAGTTAAATAAAGCAACGAAGACTACTTGCGGTCAACTGGTGCCTGTTGCTTATATAGCATCTGAAAACACTCCAGATGGTGCCCTGCCTTTATCCAAAGATGACTGAACTTCAAATACTTAGTCTCCCCAAGTATTTGAATCTCTGTTAATGCCAGAATCATGCTGAGAGTCAACTTATGAGTGCAAGGAGGTCTCGTTAATTGTTCACTAGGAACTATATGCTACATTATATATGCTCCTAATGCTTGCTCTCCAACACTTCCTGTTTATTTTAATGGAATTCAATAGCTATCAGGGATCTTTCATCTATGGTAATCTGTTTCCAATAATCCCCATAACACACTCTTTTGAACGATGGCAGTATATTGTGATCTCATAGACAGTTTTCCCTTACCTTAGCATACTCGATGACTGTACATAAATCACAGGTATTAACTCTCCAAAAATCAAAATAGATATAGGTAAAAAAAGAGATAGCTATGGTCTTACCTATGTTGCATTCAGTCGAGTGAAAAAAATAACTGATATAATATTTTTAAACAGTTACAATAAAGATTGCTACAAGTCAATCTGTAAGTCCAATGCCCATAGTGATAGACAGAATTTCATAGTAATAATTAAAGCATAAGCCATTAATTAATGGCTTATTCTGACATTATATTTGTACCTTTAAATCAGAGGTTCTTAACCTGGCGTGCGAGAGAAATTTAAAAAAAAAAAAAAATACGAACGAGGCGACCGTGGTACCACGGTACCCCGCTTCTTCATTCTCTACTCTACTGTCTCTCGGCACATAGCGCTCGTCATCACTCGTTGGTACACGCAGTTAATGTAGTCACATTGCCACGTGAAATACAGAAACTAGTTGAGACGTGTTAGCATACCTTGAATAAACAAAACAAAAATAATAAGCAAAACAAAAGCCAGAAATCGCTTAAATGTATTCGATGACTTACGCGTGGCTCTTTCAAAAAAGAGCCTCGTTTTAATAGAATTATTATGAATAAACAACAACAACCTAGCCATTAAAATTTAAATATTGCTTTTTATGTTATATAGTAATATATATTGTAAATAAACATGGCATTTGTTTATGAAATAAATGTTTTTTCTTAAATAAAAAATATACACACATTTTTTAAGGGGGTGCAAGAGCTTATTTTCAGATTCAAGGGGGTGCTGACTACTAAAAGGTTAAGGACTGCTGATTTACATATTGCCACATAAGTGTAGAAATGCCATCTTTCTCACAAGTTTGAAGTGTGAAAGTATTTTTTTTTTATCATGCCTTGTGATACCCATTTAAGAGACTTTGAGAAAGGACAAATTGTAGCTTTGGAAAGCACTAATTTAAGTCATCAGGTAGTAGCAAACAGCATCAAGCATTCAAAAAAGGTAGTTCAGCATTATTTATCAAATCCCTGCAAATTATGAACCAAAGCATAGAAGTGGATGTCCTTCAAAGCTTAGCTTACCCTGTGAGACTGCAGACGAATTGTTAATGCAGCCTCTAATCCACCACATCCATGCATCAAATTCGGGATGATTTGGGTATTCAAGTACATCACAAAACCATTTAAAGGGTTTTGCACAACAACAACATTGTTCAGTCTCAAATGAGAAATGCTCTTGCTCTTAAGCCAAAGCATGAAACTGCCCGACTTGATTTTCCTAGGAAAAATATGGCCACTCATGGAATAAGGTAAGTTTTTTGTTTCG